GAATAAAGAAATTTGCAACAAATAAAACTGAGTAAGAGATAAAGATTAAATGTGGAAAAGTGATCCGTTTGCTTGCACGCAATATTTTTCAGATATTGTCCAGGTAACTGCTTTATAGTCTGCTGTTGAAGAAATTACACAAGGTTCTCATGAATAAAATAAAACGGACAAAATGAATGTTATTATTATTATATTAAAGCACAAATTTGCATAAAATTTTAATTTACTATATTTGTGGTTTTGGAAGTCCAGAAAATTATTGTAAGTCAGGATTACACAATATGTAGTTTAGAATATTTATAGCCTATAGTACAAATCAATTTATTCACCTAACTTTTATTGAATACCCACTATGTACCAGGTTGTGCTAAATGCCAGAGGAGACACAAGGCTTCTAATTCATGGTCTCTTCTGATGAGAAGTACTACCTATTTCAAGACAGAGATACATAAATAAACTAGTGTCATTAAACGGGCCTGCTCTCAGCAACTAGAACTATGTGTGTGTTCAGATTCTAGCTCTAGGACTCAGATTGTATATATTTTAAATGGATACCATAATTATAATTATATACTTTAATTACAATAAAATATAAATACGAATATGAACATGAATAAAAAATTAATAGAATGTTGTAATAAGTCAACTTCAAAGAGCAAAGGGACATCAGGGGAGGAAGTGATAACTCTATCCTGGGAAGTTTCAGCAAAGAAAGCAAATTTTCAGCTAGATTAAACAGACAAAGAGAGAGAAAGATATCCCAGGTAGAAGGAACCCATGTAGGGAGGCATGGAAAGCATGGTGTGTTAATCAACAGTATGAAGTTCAAAATAATTAAGGTATGGAAGGGAAGGTGGTAAGAGATTGCAAAGGTAGCAAAGTTTGGATTTATAAAGTAAATAAGAAGAGAAAGAAAGTTGTGAAGTCAGAAGGGAAGGGTAGGAATGATGTTCTTCCATGTGTAATTTCCATATATCCAACACATCTGTTATAAAATAGCAGTCTTATCACACTCTCAGCCATCCCTCCATGAAAAAAAAAACCTCTAAAATATTAATAATGGTAATAAAAACAACTGAACCCTTGTTGCTCGATTCCAGGAGGCACTCTTCACATTTTATTCTACATTAATAGTGCCCTCCGGATTCATGCAACACCAACATGGGCCCATGGGAAATATACTAATTTATTCATTTAGATTTAGAATAATGAGTAAGGAGGCAATATTTACATACTCGCTTATTGTGCAATCAGTGCACATGAAGTTCTTAATGTCCAAGCACGACCTCTTCCAGGTACCATCCCTTTGGTGATACCATCTTCTTTATCGTCAACTGCATCTCATTCCTGGCTAACTTTATATCTCCCATCTCAAGAAAAAAGTATCAATGCTGTTATTACTCCTGATGCAATGACTCTCTGGAGCCTGTTTGTATTGAAACAAATAAATCTTGCCTCTCCAATTTTCTACTATTATTTATTTTATTTATTTATTGTTTATTTATTTATTTTATGTATTTAATAATAATTTCTATTATTATTTATTTTATGTTATTATGATATTATTTTTTATTTTATTTTATGTCATTATTCATGATGCTGTCTCATCCATCATGTCCTCATGAATTCTGGCTTCCAATGACTCTCTTAAATGTTATTACTGTACTTCATTGATGATAACCACAAATGCAAATCACTGATTATTTTAAATTTTCCATTTAGACTTTCTTAACATAAACGGAAAACAACACATCTTCCAACCATGTTTTCCCCTGAACGCTTAGGCCATAATCACTGCACTTTTAGGATGTGAACTCTTTCAGTGTTAACTGCACCCCTGCCTTCCACACACAGCCACCAACAGGAAGGGAGGGGCCCGTGGTGAAACAAGAAGAGTGATCACATTTCTGCATGGATGTTGGCGGGGCTTCAGACCAACCCAGGGAAGCACAATGAAACCACATTAATAGAGGCAAGAGAGGACATCAAGTGAAAGGACCTACTGGCATTGCAGAGCAACAGTCCCCAAAGTCCTTGGAAGAGATAGGCCTGGCCACCCCGGAATATTACACCTTTGATGTGGAGTGTGTGGAGAAATTGGAGTAACCACCCTGGATGCCAGTGGCAGAATGCACTGGGTAAAAAATACCTGCCACCTCCCCTGACACCTGTAAATGGGATTGGCAGGGATGGCAGAGTCATACAGACAGTGTACCAGCCTAGACCTGGTACCCTATGAGTCCAGTAAATTTTGCTTTAATTAAAATTTTCTAGGTCTGCCTCTGGAGCCTTGGATCAGCCAGGGCCCATGATCTCCATTTCTCCCTTCTGAGCTCTCTCCAAACTTTGTGATGATGGAAACAAATGTAACCAAGTGTTTGATATATTCAAGGTGAGGCCAGAGCAGGAGTTGAATGGGGTTAGGGGAGTGGGACCATGGGGAGTGTGGAACATAACATTCTAGGAACAGAAGGAATCTTTTTTTTAACTTGGTACCAGAACCTTTTGCAAGCATCATGCTCATACTTAAAATGAAACTACAAAGCATTTTCATGGAGGATAAGTTGTGGAATAGCATTACAGTATAAAATTAATTCTATAAAAATAAAAAGGATACATAAACTAATAAAGCTATAAATGATTAAGTATTTCAACTCATAGACAAAGCTCTGGTAGGTCTGTAAATTCATAGACAAAGGCGTGATATGAGTGATCACCTCCTAGCACAGGGGAAATGGCAATGCATTGGGTATAGCATCTTGATTTTTTACAAGAAACTTTCACCCTCCAACTTTTGCACTTCATCAGTTCAATATACCTTAATCACTCCTTACTGTACATTCCTCTAGCTCTCCTGCTCCCCTCTCACAATTACGCTTCTCCAGACTTCTTAGCACTCTTCATGTATTGTTCTCATAAACTGTCTTAAATTTTGTCTAGGATGACTTCTCTTTCCAATTCAATTAACTAGTCTCATAATCATCTCTGTCTTTTTTTGTTCCTTACTATTTCTTATACAGTCCCAGTAGTAAGGAAAAGCCATGTTTTATATGCCTTATCTACACCACAATTTTCTTCTTTTATTCAGAATTATGATAATGTTAAAGTTTTTTTTTTTTTCCTTTTTTTTTTTTTTTGTCTTTTTTCGTGTCCGACAACAGATCGCAACCCTCAGTGTTGCGCCCGTACTGGACTGGGACCGGCAATGGGATCGCAACCCTCGGTGTCGCGCCCGCACCTCGCTCAGCCAGTGAGCGGGAACCGGTCTGTATGTGGGATCCGAACCCTCACCGGGAGCGCTGCTTCGCTCCCAAGTGGCGCACTGTAGCAGTGCGCCACAGGGCCGGCCCTAAAGTATTATTTTGAATATTTATAATCCATAACTCGGAAGAGTATTACTGTTTCTTTTCATTACTTTGCCCATAAGGAACTAGAAATGCTTTGTTGAAGTAGAGTAAGAGAACATTGGAACTTTCACAGAACCCAAAAATTTTCAGGATAGCAACACACCTTTGAAAAATAACAGTCCTAGACCACTATATTAGATTCTTATAATTTTTTATTAATTGCCGCAGAGAGGAAAGAGGCAAAATGTTTGAAGAAATTTGTGTTTCTTAGATAGGATGCTGGTTTTATACCAACAGAAAAGAAAAACAGATGAGTAGCTCTAGGTCTTCATTTCTCTTTCTCTTATTCTCAAGGTAGGCTGAAAAACAGAAGGACAAATATAAGTGCTGTTTCTGAAAATAACATGTTTTTCAAATCTATTAAAATAAATTCCAAATTGCATAGATTGTCTTTCTGCAATTTCCACCAGTGAAAACAGTGTAAGCCTATCCTAGGCTTACGGCAGCTGAATTCTCCTTTTGGGCTAGGGGAGAGGACACAACGATAGATGTTGAGAAGTCACCTCTTCATCAGTGGTGCCATCAGAGTCCCCAGGCTTCAAAATTAGAAGCTTTTTATGATCACTCCTCAGAGTTATTTACTAAACACCTACTCACCTAAGTTGTTACAAACAAAAAGGTATCTTCTCAAAGTTAAAACTCTAGGAAGAAAATCATCCTACTTTGAACTAAGACAAATCACATTTTGAAATGGCCAAATTTGCAGAGATATGAAGTTGCTTCCTTGCCTAGATGCACAATATGTAGGTATTATCATATGGGCAAAGAGTAAGTTAAAACCGAGTAGTGGAATAGACATTATAGTCAGTTTGGAAAATATAAAAATCATTCATGCTAAAAAATAATTGCACAACTTGTTTTAAACAGAAATTTGTTTTGTTGTTTTTCTATTTTTAAATTTCCTCCAGAACATTATGAACAAAATGGGTAAGACACGTTTATGTTCAAACATCTGTGTTTTAAAGTGGGCCCTTTTGTCATAAGAAGAAAAATTCTATTAAAGCTCAGCATTTTGAAACTTTGGAAATTTAGTAGCAGATGATTCACTGCAAAGTGGAGGTCCACATAACATAGATTCAGCATGTCCTCCAATGAAATGAATTGAACTCCAGGGGATACTCTAGGTATTAGGTTGAACCATGTGAAATCACTGACCTACAAAAATGCTCTTTCATGTGGTTCAGCCTAATACCTAGAGTATCCCTCTGCTGAGCTTACTTGTATGACTTCGTGTGCTGCATCATGTTAAGTCAGAATAGGTCAACGGTTAACTCTTAAGCTCTGGTTTGAATTTTGAATTTTGGTCCCAACTCTCGCTAGCTGGGTGGCCCTTGGGTAAATTAATCTATGCTTTGATCTGTGCCTTTATTTTCTCATCTATAAAATGGGAATAATAATGGTACTCAACTCAGCCACCATTTTGAGAATTAAATAAGCTAACATATAAGGAGCTTAGAACAGCGGTTAGCACTGGTCTATATGGTACTTAGCAAATGGTCAGTCAGTATTTTCTATTTTAATAATAGCTATTATAATTACTTTTTAAAAAAATCTGAAGTATGGTTACCTGAGATGCTTGTGATTGTGATGTTTTTAGGCTAAAGCAGCTTGACTTGAAGCAACAAGTTTTGGACCCTGAATACAAAGAAATGACAGATGTTGGAAAAATATTAGCACTACTATTACAATTTAAAAAGTGATATTAATACAGCCATTGGTGATTGCAAAGTGATCTCACCATTATCACAGTCTTTAGTTCTAATTTACTACTAAAATCTCTAAAAGGAAGCTTACTGACATCTGTTGTCCCCAAAGAAATAAAAAATTACTGTCAGGCCATAAGGAGAACTATTAAATGATTCAAACATTTAAATGTAAATTTCCCCACTAACCTGTAAAATCAACTAAATTACAAGCCAGCACTTTTCACAAAAATGCTAAATAAATTAATATTTTGGTTTAGTGATCAAAAGATTTCGGGCCTCACAAATATGCTATGAATATTCATAAACATCACAAATTTGGACAGAGAACGGGCATTATCAACATGCAGAGCAGGAGATAACCAAGATTTGTCATTTTGTAAGACAATTGTACATAGAATATGGTCCCTGTCCCATATGTACGAAATGCTCTTTGACAAATAAACCCCTAAGCCCTAACCTGATCAAACGCACAAAAATGGAAATTAGATGTATTAAAAATGAGCACAGCTCCAGTACCTCCTCAGCAAAGCAGGCCTCTTTGTCATCAGCCTTGCAGCACTTTTCTAGAAAAGCTGCAAAATTCCCCATAACAGTTTTCATTTGTTCTTCTGTTGCCTTGGGCTTGTGTTTCACCAGCTCAACAAGTGCACTGCATTTGAATGGAAAAAGAAAAAAAAAAAAAAAACAGGAAAAAGTTTAGTCACATAAAGATAAATGAAAATGGTAAGGATGCTAGTGCAATCATTTAAGATTCCAAGTCTTGGAGCCAGGCAACTCTGGGTTTGAGGCCCAAGCATACCACTCTACATTTCAATATTCTCATCGCCGTCATGAGGATAATAAAATCCACCTTCGTAGGGTTGGTGGGAAGATCAAATGAGATAATCAGTGTAAATTGCTCAACATCTTATGCAGCATCACTAAATCTCTTTTCATAAATCTCTTTTCAGTAAATCTCTGGAAAGAATTATGTCATTGCATTTATATACTATTAAGATTTTGAAAGTTATGCCATACTGAATTTGATAGCTATTTAAGAGCTAAAAATGATCCTTAAAAACTTAACTATCTTGGAACTCATTTTAAAAGTTTCTCATCTGTGAATTTTTATATTTGGTCTTTGAAATTTGCCCCATCTGAAGTTAATAGTGGAGAGTCTATAGGACATAAGACTATCCAGCTCATGGGAGCTGGTGGTTCTTTCACTGACATCTGCAGAGACAGCAGTGCCAGAGAGAGTTGTGTGGGCCTGACAGGTTTTTCAATATTACTCTTAAGTCTAGACTATGATTACAGCCCACCAGAGAAGGCAGCAACTTTCTGTTGCTAAATGTCATGCAATTCTAATCCCTTGTGACAGCAATTGGAAGTCAAGCCTCAGAACTCTCATTTCTACATGTTTTTCATCCAAGTCTCTTTCTCAAAAATCACATTTTGGGGGGTTGGCTCTCCAGAGGGGTCACCATAGAGCAAACTTAAAATAACTCTGCATGACTAGAAATAAATTTTCCTGTGATTCCTCCTAACTAATTTGCTATCTGCACAAATCCATCAACTAGTTGTTCACAAATCCATGGCTTATTGTACCAGACCTGGCCCAAGATGTTATTCTACCATGGCTTTTATCCACGATATGACTCTGAATAATTTGTTGGCAAGATTATATTAGTTTTTTGCTCAGGGAAAAAGCTATTCAATTTATCCTTGACACTTTTATCAGCTTAATAAGGCCAATATTCAAATACTTTTCTCTAAGGAATATAATCACTATTTCAGGAAAAAAAAAATTGCTCATTTTAACTGACAGTTCTTGCTATCAAGACAATAAACACAAGCAGTAATGAAATACTCCTCACGATTGTTTCTTGAATTGTTTCTCCTTCTCAGGAAGTGTGCACACATCTGCATGGAAGGTGAATGTTTCAGCATTAAAGTCTTTGGGAACATATGTTTCATCAAGTTGCACAGCAGAAAAGCATGGCCGCCTGTTCACCAAGGATTCAGTGCAGCATTTGGTGACTTTTTCACTCACTGGTGTCTTTTCATGTAACACACACAACCGATTTAGGACCAAGGACACCTAAAGAACAGTCAAGAGAGCATAAATGCAAAAGGAGCAAAATTGAAAGTTTTCATTGAACGCCTACTTTCCAGTGCACCAAAACAAGTGTTATATTTTAACTAGCAACACTGAACCCAAAGTGGATTTGAGGCAGTGGTTTATCTTTAGCACTACAAATAAGAACTTTCAAATTGTCTCTCTTCTAATTAAATATGTCTACATTTTAACAATAATTCACTTGAGAAAGTAATTGATGAAAATAAGTTGAGATGAAATGTCTTGAGATATGTGTTGGAGTAGGGAGGAAATAGTCTTACACATTAAAGAAGACACCCCAAAGAAAGTAAAAATTTAGAAAATGTCAGAGGAATACTGAAAATTCATAGATTTTTTTCAAAACAATTTATCACCTTTGAGATCCTGTCTAAATCCTCATTTTGACAGGATAGTATAGGTGGAGTGGATTGAATTTTGTCCCCTCAAAACTCACTGAAGCTTGAATTGTGTCCCCCAAGTTTTATGTATTAGAAACTTGGCCCCCACTATGACTGTTAAAAGGGTGGGAGATCCTATTATGGTAAAATTGAAAGGTGAGGCCTTGAAGAGGTGATTGGATTGTAGGACCATGCCTTAGTGAATGGATTAAAAATGGTGGTCAGGGGCATTGTTCTGAGGGCTTTAAAAGGACAGTGCATGAGGAGGTTACTCTCTCTTTGCTCTCTCTGCTTCCACCGTCTTGCAATGTGAGACCGCTGGGTCACTATCGCCACCATCAGATGACTTTGGACTTCCCAGCCTCAGAAACTGTAAGCAATGAATTTTGTTTTCCTTCTAAATTACCCATTTCCAGGTATTTTGTTATGAGCAACAGAAATGGACTGATACAGTGACCAAATTCTGTCTGCCATTCACACACACACACACACACACACACACACACACACACACACGTTAGCCTACCCTTCTTCTGAAAGTTAGGTTTGTCAATATCTAGAGGCAAAAATTCATCCTTATCATTATGTTTTTAAAGACTCACATAATCTTCAGCACAGGGCACTCTGTCAGATTCAGAAAGCTTACAACACTTGCTGCCCACTTTTCCTAGGCTTCTTGAGATCTCCACGAGAGTTGGAGTTGACACTTGGGGTGCTCTCCTGGTATAACGAACTGCGAGCCTATAATGAAATAGTCCATGTGTTTTCAGTCAGGCAAAAAACTGCTTCATGGATCAAGTAGAGAACACTTGGCCAAAATTAACTAAGATGTTCTTATTTTCCATTCATCAAATTATTTCCATCTCCAGGGTGGTGGGGGAGCACAGGGGGTAGAACTTATCTTGAGCAACTAGTTTTGGCTTTGAATTCCAATTGCACTATATTATCTTCAAGAATTGAGTTACCTTATTATAGTTCAGCAGCATTGATAGATTTATTAATTGCTTCTCTCCTTCAGTAAGTCCTACTGAGAGCTTAATATACACCAGCACTGGGATGAACTTAAGATATCAGTGGAAAATGGGAAGAAATATACCTGACTCAAAAGGAATGATGCAAGTACTAAATTAAAAGGAATAAAGTATGCAATTAACCTGGTGCAGTATCTAGCCTGTAGTAATCACTTATTAAGAATGCCACTCACCATTGAAAGTCAATGTATGACTGCAATCTACTTGACGGAAGAAACTATTCAGTTATGTGCACTGTTGTTATCCCTAAAATCCATAGTTAGAAAAGTGCTAACTATGTACATGAGCTGCACAATAAATATGTACTGAATAATGTGTCCTTTCTTGTCTTTACCTCCATAGACAAGGCTCTATTGAATTGGGACATTAGTACAGCAGGTCATATGCCTCTGTCTTTCCTAGAGAGAGAAATTTCATAGGAAAACAAGGCTGTTACCATCAAATGCTGGGTTCATCTTCTAACTACCCAATCTTTCCCCAAATAGCCCATTATAAATCTAATATTCACACATGTATATAAATTGATTTTATTATATTTTCAAGAAGTAATTATATTACTTCTTGAGCTACTGCCACCAAAGCTTACTCGTTCCTGTTCTGTAAAATATTGCTGTTTTATTTGCCCATAAACTAGCTCCTAACCTTCAAGGGGCATCCCTAGTTCTAATATATCAAGGTTTGGCAGTTACACTCCCTGCCTACATAACTCCCAGTCCAATTTTTCAGACTGCACTCAAATATAGACCTCTTCATCCCATCAATTATTTTATCCCTCCTCTCCAGTTTTTCTTGATAAAGAATTATTAGAAATACATATTGTATTTTCATTATTAAAAGTTCTATGCCAGGTGACCTGTGTATTAAGTCTTAAATAATTACAAATTGATCAAAAAAAATGAGCCAATAAATAAAAATACTTACGCATTTTGGAAGCCATAATCTCCAAGCTTCTCATAAAGTTCACAGTTTTGTTGGACTAAATTCTGAGCCTCATTTACAAGAGGCTGAAGTTCATCAAGCTGAAATATAAAAGGGTTGTGTTGCCAGTATTCCACCTGAGGACTAGATGCAGGACATTTTTCACCCTTCTGCTCAAAATGAGATCCTTCCTCCTCTCTGCCCAAAGCCATGTGCATAGATCTTCAATGCCACATTAGTCATATTACATTCGAATTGTTTATTTGGTGAGGCTATATAGTGTAAGTAGTTGTGGAGTTCAATGGCTGGTACTTGAGCCAGGCCATCTAACTCATTTCCCACCTGTGCAACTTTACTTACCCTCTTCAAACATCAGAATCCTCGTCTCTATAATAGGGGCAAAGATGACACTCTCCTCACAGATTGCTCCATAAACCAACTAAACTAATGAAATTAAAACAGCGCCTGGCACATAGTAAAAGTTCGATAAGTGATGGCTATAATCGTTAGTACCATTATTATTAAGCCATCACTCCAGACGGATTTCGATCTCTCCAAGATGAAAGATTTTGCCTTGGTCATCAGTTGCAGGGGATGAGTGGCATATCACAGCTTCTTGGTAGAGGAAAGAATGGCCTTTCTCTGATTCTGAATAGTCTGGAAGCCATTATGTATGCCTGTAGGGACCTTAAAAACCCTCCAGAACAGATTTCCTCTTCTAACTTTAAACTATTCTGAAACCTTCCCAAAAGTCTTGGAAATATTCTAAAAGAACAGATTTCACAACCTTCCTTAAGATACTAATTCTAGTACTTGACAAATCTTGGAATTGGGTTAACTTTCTGTATATCTAAGCTAAACCTTTTTAATTAACACTTAAATTTATATTACTTTGTTCTCAGGAGTATAAAAAAGAGAAAAACCATTGTTAATATTTTGTGAAATTAGAGATTACTCTCTTCAGATCTTTCTTCCCTAGACTAACTATTCTAAGTTTTATTAGCCATTCTATTTAAGGCTATTTTTCCTATAATGTTTAAGAGCAGAGAAGTGAAACCATCTTAAGAAAACATCTAAATTGCACTAAATATCATTTCACATTCCTGCATTATTTTTCCTTCTTATCAATAAAGGAGCTACATCTTTTCCTGCAAGAAACGTACCACTTTGGCATAACATGCAGGAGGATCTGCAGTGGCACAGCACTTCTCCAATGTGGCTTCATATGCCTTGGCAACTCTCAGCAGCAATAAGACAGGGTAATTAGGGTGCCTTCTTGAATATTCATACAAAAACCTAACATGAAAATAAAATAGATTTAGTTGGACAAATGAGCAAGAAAAATCACATAACTCATCTCAAGATTAACTCATATTCCAAAGACCTGTATTTGGCTAAACCCCAAGTAATTCCTGGTGCTACAGACTTGAGGTCTAGAGTTTAAGCTACTCGGATTCAATTCCTGCCTCTGCCACTGGTTTTACTATGTCACCTTAGGCAACTTATTAAAACTATCAGAGTCTTAGTTTCCTCCTCTGTGTAATGGGATATCTGTCTCATAAGGTGGATTGTGAGGAATACATGATATTATGTATGCAAAACACATACTGCCTGGCACATACTAAATGTTTAATGAGTGATACCTGTTATTTTTATGTATATTTTGTTTGATTTGGACTACATCTTAAAAGAATTCTGATAGATATATGGACAGAAGCATATTGTTAAAATTTTCCTTTTCCTCTTTGTATAAGTGAAATCATATAGGGTACATAATTTTATGAAATATTATTTAATGCAAAGAATACAGGTATACAGAACCCAACAAAAATGCAAAAGTTTAGCACCACATTTATTTGACTATGTATAATCATTTATTTTGTCATTTAATTACATACTGCCTTGCCATACTACTGAACTTCTGGTCTTTTCAACCAAATATAAAGTACCTGGTGCCAGTCTCCATACTTCTTTTTATACTTCATTGTTGCCATCATATAGATTAGATAGATAGATAGATAGATGATAGATAGGCAATATATTCACACGTATAAATGTTCAAGAAATACTCTTTGAATGAATGAATGATTAAATGAATAATGTATATATAATTTATACACAAAAAAAAAATTTCTGAAGGCATTTCCAGAAATATCCGTAAAGAGAAAGGAATGTTGTGCTTTTGCTGTAAGCATGTATTATTTTATGGTAATGTTTTAAACTAATTAACTTTTTCAAAAAATTTTTAAAGTCTAGGAGAAGGAAGGATAAGAAGCATGCTGAGCAGCAGGGAAATTGTAGCAACTCCACAGGAAAGCCTAGTATATCTTCCTATATCGTGAGGCCATATGAAAGCTATGAAAGAATTATTCCTTATCTACTCACGTGCCCAGGAAGACATCTTTTGCCTCAGCATAGTTTTTGCAAACTTCCTTATCCTCAACAAAATCATGAGCTATTGGGGCCAAGTCAGTAGGCAAGTCGTCTTTTTCCACCTCAGAAAGACAGTGGGATTTTTCCAGTACAGGCTTATCACAGCATCCCTTCAGTTTACTGGAGATTGAATCTTGATGTTCACACATATACTTGGCAAGTTCCGCCTATTCGCAAGATAATGGAAATTGTTCAACATAAATTGACATTGCTATACTTTCTCCCCAGACCTTTACTATGTTGGCAGAACATGATCATTGTATTTTAAGACCATACACATAACAACATGCCTTCTACGAACATATTCTGAGTCTATTCTCCTAAGCATGGAGACCCAGATTGAACTACAACAACGTCCTCACTTGTTTAAAAAAGACTGGGCAGTAACAGGCACTCGTATAAGTTATTTATTAATTTTATATTTCTACTATTAAGGCATTTAAGATTTTTTTCCTTAAAAAACTTACTCAGTGGTGTTCTTCTAAATAATACCCCTTCCCCATATTAAGTGCAGGCATTTTGAAACCAGATAACTAAATAAAGTATTACAGATTTTTGAAAAATGAGTGAAGATCATAGTCACAGGACCTTCTTACATATATGAAAGATCTACTTTCAGTTTTTCAGAAAGTGTTATGAGAGATTAGGATTCTAGTGTTTGGTCATATTTTTAATTTTTGAAGAAAGGGAAAAATGTTACAAGTTTGGGGAAAAGAGATATCATGCTAAATATGTATATATTTAACACAGAGAGTTAATTAAGGGAGAGAATACAGACAGGAAGAAATACATCATTTCCAAAGATCTCTTCAGGTACTAGACCCTCTTCACCTGCACCCACATTCCAAAAATCTTAGAAATCTACCTTTGTAGCTGACCTTCAGTTTAAGCCTTTGTTCTCAGATTACAACTGAATGTAGTTATAAATCAGTGAATTGGTTTATCAGGTCACTTAGTAATTAGGATAAAAACTATCACAAGGGGGCCAGCCCGGTTGCGCACTGCTACAGTGCGCCACTTGGGAGCGTGGTGGCGCTCCTGCCAAGGGTTCGGATCCCACATACGGACTGGCGGCTCACTGGCTGAGCGAGGTGCGGGCGCGACACCGAGGGTTGCGATCCGTTGCCGGTCACGAAAAAAGACAAAAAGGAAAAAAAAAAACTATCACAAGGGTGCCAGCCCGGTTGCGCACTGCTACAGTGCGCCACTTGGGAGCGTGGTGGCGCTCCTGCCAAGGGCTCGGATCCCACATACGGACTGGCGGCTCACTGGCTGAGCGAGGTGCGGGCGCGACACCGAGGGTTGCGATCCGTTGCCGGTCACGAAAAAAGACAAAAAGGAAAAAAAAAAACTATCACAAGGCAGGAAAGGCTTGGAGATAGAGCTTATAAGAGAACAGAAGGCAATCTCAACCCACTGTCAGCTGTCGCCAATGATATTGCATGTATTCATTCTACCAACTTAAGTATGTATGCTACCAAAGAGCATATTAATGACTCTTTACCCTGTCATCGGCACATTCAAGCAGGTCACCATGGCAGCATTCCTTGTGGACTTTGGCAAGATCTGTCACTAACTTGGTAACTTCTGCAAAGTCAGCTTTGGGAAATCTCTGGCTCAGGTGAGCTACTGCCCTAAAAAGAAAATCCCCCCCATCAAAATATTGTTATCATGCAGTATTTTATATGAAAGTACTAGGAAAATACTATTTATAACAAGAAATTTCCAGGCAAACTAACATTCGGAAAGAATTTTCAAAATTCATTAGTTCTTATTTTAATATCAGTTCTAAACCAAATGTTTATCTTTCTTCCTTAGAGCAGAATTATCCATTTAAGAGTGTGTGTGGTGGATAGAAATCTAGCAATTCATAAAAGCGGAAATCAAAGAGGGATTCTGAAAGGGACAACAGGCTGAGAGGCATTAGGTTAGGAGCCCAGATTTGACCTTCAGATCTGGCTTTATCACTTACTAGCAGTGTGACCCTAGGCAAGTGACTTAGCTTCTCTGGGCTTCAGTCTCTGAAGTGTTACAATAGCAGGTTAAATCAAAGGACCATTTTAAGAATTAAATTAAATAATGCATATGAAAGCATTTTATAATCTAAGAAGTATTACACAAATTCCAGTTATCTTTTTTTTTCTCAATTAAAACACATTCTTCCTGACTTCTAAAGGTGGCTGAGAAAAAAAAATTTTATAGCTTCTACAGAATTAGGGAGTTTTTATTAAGCATACTTTTACCAATAAACTGCCCCTATGACAAGACGTAAAAGGCTAATATCCTTGTTTTAACCAAATCACTTCAGAGTCACCTAAATCTGATAAAGATTTCTTTCCCAGAACCAATCATAGCCTGCTGATCTGTGTATCATTTCATGTTGGAGTTGTTTTGCTTATCAATTCGGTTGATTTTGGTGGTATAGATGGTAGGAATAATGGTCAAATAACTCATTCAGTTGACAGTTTCTAGAGAGCATGCATAATGTCTATTATTTTCAATTTATCTCCTGTTTGTGTTGATTCATCATTGACTAGTAAATGAGGGAATGAGGGGACAGGTAGTATTTTTTCGGCTCAGATATTGAAGTATGCTCCCAGAACCAGCTAAGTAATATGAAAATTTTGCCAGAGACCCAGGCAAAAACACAAGATGAAATGCAGAGTTGGAGGTATGAAAAAAATGAGAAATAACTTTAACTTAGCTTATGGCTGAACTTAATTATCAGGATTTAAAAGGACGAGCGGACACTTTCAGATTATTGGGAGGAAAGGTAAAATTAAGTAAAATGCACTAAATACAGATCTATAAAAATTATAAACCATTATAATGAGATCTCCAGTATTTATAAATAAATGGGATTTAAATAGCTGTCCCTTTTTTAGAACAAAAAAATGCTGTCTTCTAGATTGTTGACTACTAATTCCTCCCTTAACTCCAAAAAACAATTATATTGTATAATGTTGAATATACTAATTATCCTGATTGGAGCATCACGTATTGCCCACAGATATTGATATTCAACTCTGAACCCCACAGATATGTACAATCAACTATGTTACAATAAAAAAAAAATTCATAGTGACAAAAAATCATTAATTAATTAATTTTGACTACTTTTAAAAAAGATTAAAAACAATGCCAAATTGTCATTGATATCCTGATTTTTAACTCTCTTACATTTTCTACCTTTTAGACAACCAAAAAGACGTATTTAAAAGCACTGTGTAAAATGCCATGTAAATGTAGAAATTTGTCAACTGAACCATCATAATTTATGTCACTATAAAGATGCAAACTATGTTAAAAAATATTTACCATGCTTTGAATGCTCTTTCTCCAAATTTATGCAGACTGGCGCACTTGAGTCTCTGTCTGGCAGCTGAAGCCAATGCCTTTTCCTTCACAGCATCAAGCTACAGAAAGGAATAATTTTGAAAAACTTAGAAAACTTCTATACAAAACATCTCTTCATAAGCCCAGACGAAAAAATGCCAAATTAAATTTTAAAGAGATAACGTACACCTAAATTCCCAAGTACTCCCTTTGGCAAACAATTATTTTGCTATGTAAGAAGAGAAAAAAATCAGTTTGGTCATAGCAGAAGACTCCAGGTAGTTAAAAAGCATCTTGAAGGTGTTGCTGGGGGAAAGGGCCCTGAAAGGAAAAGTGGAGGAACAGAGCACACTAATATCCAGGAAATACAATTTTGCTGATTTCTTAATTTTGTGTGTAATTCATTTTAGTTCTTCTTCCACCAATAGCATCAATAAACTCCCCAGAAAAGAGAATAAAGCACATAATAAATATTTATGACATGGATGAATAAAGCTGGGCTTGTAGATGCAGTACAGTTCTCTACTACTTTGAATCCCCTCTCCAAGAAAAAGCTTCCTGAAAAGATAAGCAAAAACTGTGGCCCTTGCTGTGCAGTTTGACAAATGAGTTTCTGTATTTCACTATAGTGATCACCACCATAAAAAGTGGTGGGGATTTAGACACACGCACAGTGATAACCTCTGTCAGATCAGCATTGACAAGTCTTAGAAGGAGGAATGAGGAGATTAGAGGCTTTCAAAAAGGATGAAAGATCTTTGGGGGAGATAAGAGTGAGCAAGGTTTTTTTAACCATGTAGGAAAATTTGTGTCAGAGACTTAGGTTCCCCAAATCTAACCATAAGACGTTCAAAATCAGAGGTGAGACTATAAACTTGTTCTTCTATTCTTCTTTTGGGGAATACCTTTGGTGTCAGGCAGGCAGTTTTATCAGCGGCTTGGCAGCATTCTGTAAGAGCGGCTTTGTACTTTTGAGCATAGAAAAGCAGTTCTGGGGCATAAAAGTAAGGATGTCTTCTGGCAACTTCATATAAGTAACTAAATTTTTAAAAAGAAAAAAAGGCAATCATTTATCTATAGAATACAGTATTACAGAAACAATTGTTTTTTTTTTTGTTTGTTTGTTTTGTTTGTCTTTTTTGTGACCAGTAAGGGGATTGCAACCCTTGGCTTGGTGTCGCTCGCACCGCACTCAGCCAGTGAGCGCACCGGCCATCCCTATATAGGATCCGAACCCATGCGCTGCTGTACTCCCAGTGCTGCACTCTCCCAAGTGAGCCATGAGGTCGGCCCTTACAGAAACAATTGTAATGAAAGTGTTCCCCAGTCCTTCCAAACCCAAAGACATCTAATTTACCAAGGAAGTTCAATTTGCACATAATGGCCTTGTCTTTGTCATTCTTTGTCAGTGAAAAGGAAGGTTAAATTTAAATTTGTGTATGTCTGTATGTGCGCTTATAAATGGTTAAATTTTGGTGATATAATATTGCTGACTAAAATAAATCAATTCTAAGTATAACTTATGTGTGTGTGTGTGTGTGTGTGTGTGTATATATATATACACCTATATAATGTCTTAAAACATGTCAGTCTTAAATTTTTCATACAAATCATATCCTCTTTCAATAAACTGCAAAAGATCTCTGATCATATTTTTTGTTGTATAGAATTGTGTGGTATCAAATATTACTTCTTTAAAAATCATCTGAAGAAGAAAACTTTTAAGTCTTAAAGATAAATATATTTTTTGTTGTGGCAATTGTCAAAATATGTGTTGACTTATAGATTTATTCCAAAATTTTTTATTTTGAAGCATAAACATCTGATTACTTACTGTCCCAAAAACTTAGATTCATTTTCCTGAAATTCGGAGCACAATTCATCAGCGTCTGGTCTCGAGAAAGGAGGGAGTGGTGGGTTATCATCTTTGTGGGCCAGGAAGCATTCATTTCTCTCGGGTTCTTGTTTTGCACAGCAGTCAGCCATTTCACCATAGGTGTCACGAAGACTTGCAACTGTACATAATTTATCTCCAAAAAGTTGATGCTAAATTAAAGAGAGCAAGCTTCAAATTACTGAGCAGTATTTTCTTTTCTTTATAATCAAAGAACAGTATAAAAATTAATATTGGTAATAATGAATATGCTAATAAAAATAGTTTTTTTTAAAGTTTAATACACTGGTAAAGTTTGGTTAGGAAATCATATAAAAATTTACTTTTCTCCCTCTCGTTAGCATTCCCTTGATTTGGCCATCTCTGTATAATTTTTATAAGAATTAACTTCACACTATTACTTATGGTGGATAAAACAGAAGGACAAAAAGACAGTCAATAGCTTTAAAGAATGTTGCATTACTCCTATATCCACCTGACACTAAAGGCCGAGAGTAATCATTACAACAAAAATCAGGGGAAAACATAAGTAGGAGGTGGATTCACATTCGGGAGAAAAGTGTTCAGAGAGTTTCTCATTTGATGTGCCCCTTTTTGAGAGGTCCAACTTTTTAGCAGATACCATTTAAAACTGAGGAGTATCACAATCTAATATATATTAAGCTACTGCATTACAATATAGATTTCTTTTTATTTTAGAAATATTTATATCAAAGCTCTTTTCATTAAATGAATCCTTTTCTTCCCCATTTATTTTTATTATGAAAGTAATTAAAACCCCAGGGGAAATATACTGCTCTAAACAGAATTTATTAATTTTTCAAAAATTACATTTTTAAAAATTCGTATGTAAAAAAAGAAGAGAGAGAAAGAGAGAAATTCATTGTAGAAATGTATTATTGTGAGGAGTTACAGTGTTGATTCTCCCATTAGGGAGAGGTAAACATAGAGAGAAATAAGGAGAGAATAGTCTCCAATGATAAATTTAAAATGGTCTTGCCCCCAGAGAGGTATATATGAGTATAGATTGAGTGGTGAGAGAAAGATAAACCTCTCCTTATTTTGAAGACCTGTCTAGAAACACTGAAAGTTCAGTTCTTCAAAATTACTGATTACCCTGCTTTTTTATCATATGTAAAAATATGAATATCCCGAAAATGAGGAATACACAGCATTACAATTATTTTGCCCAGGCAACGAAATTGGCATAGAAATCAGTTAGTGCTTCCTGAAGATAAAAACCATTCTATATTTTCAAAGAGATACTAGCACTCCTATGTTCATTGCAGCACTATTCACAATAGTCAAGGTGTGAAAACAACCTAAATGTCCATTGACAGATGAATGGATAAAGAAAATGTGGGACGTACATACAATGGAATACTATTCAGCCTTAAAAAGAAGGAAATTCTACAATGTGCAACAATGTGGATGAACCTTGAGAATATTATGCTAAGTGAAATAAGCCAGTCATGGAAAGACAAATACTGCATGATTTCACTTATATAAGGTATCTAAAATAGTCAAATTCACAGACTCGAAGAGTAGAATGGTGGTTGCCAGAGGCTGCAGGGAGGAGGAAATGGGGAGTTATTAATCAACGGGCATAAAGTTTTAATTAAGCAAGATGAATAAGCTCTAAAGATCTGCTGTACAATATTGTACCTATAGTCAATATTAATATATTACACATAAAACATTTTTAAGAGGGTGGGTCTTATGTTCTTACCACAGTAAAATAAAATTAATTAGTATATAAAAACATGCTATCACTATTAGCTTATACAAAAAGAAACCAAACCTCAAGTTTTGAAAAAAGATTTTCACAGATGACAATTGCCATTTAAATACACCATGACTACTGTATGTGGTCTCAATGAAGAAATGTTTTTAAAACTGTGGGCATAGCTAGAGCATCTCTATTCCAGAGGAAACAATGGCTTATTAGTCTATAAGCAACTTTTAAGTGTTGCTTACAAATCTGATCATTTAATAATAATTGAGAAAACTAAAAAGGAATTTTTTCCTTTGAACTGCTTGGGATCACTTAGAAGAAAGAATCCCGAAAACCAGAATGTACTTACTAGTGATTTGTCACAATTTTCAGCTGACTCATCAGCAACACATGTTTTTGCAAATTCAGTTACTTCTTTCACTAATTTTATGTGTTCTTCAAATGGGCACTTCTGGAGATACTGAGAAAAGGAAACCAGCACCCTGAAACAAAGAATGTAGAAATATGTAGAATAATAAAACTTTAATCTTGCTATACTAGAAAGCAAATCATGTATGTATATATATTCTATATTTTATATATCTCTTACTATTATCCAGAAAGCCTGTTCATATCAGGTATTATCTGAGGCCTAAACAGGTATATGTAGCTTCCTAGGCAAAGAGGATATGTATTTCCACAATGTTTAAATATATGTGTATGCATGTTAGTAGATACACACACATAGAGCCAAGTCACCGAACTGCATGCTAAATAGACCTAATTGTGAAGACTGGGCATTACAGAAGTCCTGTGAATTATTTAAAATGAAAAACAAAACCCACATTCTTCATTTAATTAAGCTGAGGATAAGATTGACCTTTAAAATATAAACTATTTTCTCATTTTTTACTAAATTTAAAAAAATGAAATGTTTCCCCAAAACCATAGGACTACTTGCTATGTAAAGGGTTTCGCAAGTGAGCTGCCAAAGGAACCATACATTAAAGTCCTCTCCACCACACAGGTTGTAGAAGAATTCCAGACCTGCACTGTCTCATACAGTAGCCATTAGCCACATGTGAGTATACAAATTTAAATTAATTAAAATTAAATACAATTTAAAGTTCTTTTTCTCAGTTGCATTTGCCATATTTAAAGTACTCAATAGCCATATGTGACCGGTAGCTACCATATTGGACAGCACTAACACAGAATATGTTCATCAATGCAGAAAATTATATTGAACAGCACTGTTCTAGAGTCTGAATCCTGATGACTGGGGAATATAAAGACTTTAGAGTAATAATTAATGTTATTAGAAACATTAACTTTGACTCCTCAATATTTTAACTTACAGGCCTTTGAAATTTTCTTCTCCCAAGTCTTTAAACCGATGAGCAATCTCACTCTTGTCTGAGGGGGAGAAAAAGAAAAAAAAATGTATTAATACTGAGGAAAACGATTCATTATGATGCTACTTTTTAAATTTCTTTTCATTTGACTTAGGTTATTCATTTGCTCCAAAATACTGGGCTCTGATCCTTACAGAAAATTTAAGGATATTGGTGAATTATTTCTTCTGCATTTAAACAGAAGAATTATTCAATCATCAAGAATACATTTTAAAAATCATTCAATATTAATAGCTTTATATTCAAATTTGGATAAGATCTAATGGTCCTATAGTATCCATTAATAGCAACTGAGAAAACAGTCTGGAATGAAAGCAAATATAAATACAAGTTCTATTTATAAGATTAGCAATTAGGTTATGAGGGGTTTTTTTTATAAAGCATGGTGCAGTAAATAGGTCTCTGAGATAGGTGTGAATTTTATCTTCAACTCTATTCTGTGAAGTTTTGGTCACTCTGCCTAAAGTTTCTTCTTGTGCAAAAGAAAATTAGTCACTAAACAATTCTCACCATTTTTTTTTTCACCTAGAGTGTTTGAAACACATTAATAAGATGACAACATAAGGGTACACAAATACAAGATGTCATCATATTCTAGAAATAAATGCTAAAAGAAAATTTAATACATTAAAGATGCAGGGTTTACTGAAACTTTCTTTTGCTAGGAAAATAAAAGTTGAATATAGAAAAATAGAATTCTTACGTGCTTCTCGACGAAACACACCCCTGGAATAAGCGGAGCTGAAGAGAAAGAGAAGGGAAATAAAAGTAACCCACTTCATTGTGCCAAAGACTTGTGGGGTTGATAGAAGAGAAAAGGTAAGACACATAGAGGGAAATTAGCACTAATATACTCCTTTAACCAATAATTGTAGATTATTAACTAGACTCATCTTTGTATCTCATTGGCTCCCAACTGATTACAAAATTCATAATATTCTTGCCAAAAAACTGTTTGACTAAATCTCTTGCGTATATTTGCCATCTGGAACTGTTTTTTCCACAAGACCTTGTCAATTCATTAAAGTTATGCAAAACATCTTATCAAATTTTACACAAGAGTTTAACTGATTTGTACCTATTATTCATTACCATGTTCTTTATCTGAGATTTCCCATTTAAACATTTTAGTTTTCAATGTTTGCAAAAACTGTAACTAAACCAATGGCTTTGCTTGAAAATAAGCCATACTAAAAGAGCGAAGTCCTTAATTGCATCTATCACCAGTTCCAAGAGTACTCTACAGGTAATGAAAAATTTACACATGCACACACACACACACAATACGGTTTCCATATCTTTATCATTCTTCTGAAATCATTCTGTCTGCAAAAGCTGATGTTGCCACAAATGCAAACTAAGAAAAAGCCATAGCAACAATAACAACTAAAATGGATATGTGGAAGTTTCATGTTTCTATTCTAGCCCTGGCCCACATGTGATTCAGGCCCTGAGGTAAGATACTTAGATACAAAGTGAGTATCCCTCATGGTGTTTTCAGTTAAGGAGACCTGGGGATGAAAACAGGTCCAAAGGACAGTGATGATGGTCTTTGCCATTATAATATACACAGATAGGTTGAACCCTGATTACACCTCTACAGGTTATGAGAATCCTGGACCTCCTTCACCAGGTATCGGATTCTTTTCATCCCTGTTTCACACATTTTTCCTTTTTCCCTTTTAATAAGTAGAAAAATCATGTGCTCTTTTTTTAATGCTACTTAAAATTTTGAAATAAAACATTATGTCTAAAAACAAAACAAAACAAAGATAATTTTTTAATGGTTTTTAGATTTTCCTTTCCCACTCAAGGTTCTCTTCTCTACCTCTGAAGGTCTATTCTTCCTCTGCCCTTTTGCTCTGAAGATGAAGAACTACTGATCTCCACCAGTAGGAAAACTGACTTGCTGTGAAACTACAGAATAATTAGCATCAAGCCAGTTATTTCACTTAAGTAAATAGCCGAGTCAGTCAAAACTGTCAGTCAAATTTCCCCATGGCACATATAGGCACAGAAGCTAATAAATACTCAAGAGAAGCATTATTTTTCTTATTTAGTCTTAAAATAAAAGGAATATACTTCCTATAATGTTATTTTATTTTATTTCATCTTCAGGAATTGGTACTAATTAAATAAACAAGCACAGAAGAGGAAAAGATTGGTAGATAGGTAGGTAAGAGTTTAAGTGACCCATGGGAGTCCTGAGAGGTAATACAAATCTAAAAGAATGTCTACCTATAAAATTACTTCCACTGGAGAAAACCAGATTTTGCAAAGCCAGAAAACCTATATTGGAAAAGAAAAAGGAAACTATTCTAACTTTCTAAGTGGAGAAAATAATTCTTTCCTGGATAAATTATACCAACTTTTCTTTTAACTTCCTAGGAAGAGTGGGCACTATTTATTTGAAGTAAGTGGCCAACCCTATCCTTTTCCTGATGAGTCCCTGGAGAATGCCTAAGCAAACATGCAATCCTTATATTAAATATTATTGTATTGCTAATTCACAAATTCAGGCCTTTGTCGCTTACACATATACTTTGTGCATTTTTTTTATTTAACAAGTGAAAAAAAATAATGAGTCTCTATTTTGCACTCCAATATTATATTACAATACGATGGTAAATACAGAAAATCTAGTAAAATTCAAATTTATCATGACTGAACTTTGAATTGATTTTCATATATTTAAGGAAGATCCTATAGCTTTAAAATATAAAATTGATAATACCTGAAAGAATATTTGCTTACAGTACCAATAAGGTGTTTAGCAAGTTTAGAGTATGTGTATCCTTATTAAGGTTGAGAAATTAAAATATTTAATTCTTAACATTATCTGCTTGCTTAAAATTCATCTTAATTAATTAGAAACCCTTGAATTGTATGGATTCCCAAAGTAGGAATTCCTACATTTTTCTCTGAAAACCTCAGGCATTAATTCTGCATGTAAATTCTATACTGAGAGGAATAAAACCACATAATTGCTAGTTATTTCTAAGTATCTAGTTCTTCAAGCCTTTAAACTCTTATGTTTAGTCAGTCATCAAAGGATTCTGGCATGAGGGTAAGTGCAAATATTTAAACTAAGAGTTATAAATATGGTTTGGAGAATCTAGTTTCTAAGTAAATAGAAAAATAGCTTCAGTGATTTTAAAATGTTTTCTCATCTTTATGGGAGAAGTTTAAAACTAGAGAGTAGTTAAGAAAATTCCTTTCTTTTGAAAGGATAATAGCATACTGATCATTTAGGAGAGAAAAAAAAATACCTCCATTGAAATGTAAATGTAACTGGGAATTAAACCTGAAACTTTATCCCTTTTGTACTTTGTTTTGCATTCATTTGGACAGGATGGAAAAGTAGATGAACTATCCCTTTGGACCAGTCCCTTACTTCTCTCCACCCTAATCATAGCCTCAAAATACACCCTCTGGATTCCTAAAGCTTCTCACTGAGTCATTCAAACCAGGCTTGCCTTCCATCTGGCAATCTTTGTGGGCCACCCCTCATGCAGTCTCTCTGTGACAGGGTACTACTTCTGGGTCTCCTTCCCTTAGGGATAAAGTAAAACATATTCATGAAAATGTGACAACAATGTCTAACAATGTCCTCAGTGTTTTAACAGAGACTTTCTAGAAATAACCACTTAACCTAAAGTCATTCCAAAATACAGAAAATTTGGAGAGAAAATTGGGGACAGGAAAACCTTTTCATAGCATTCTTCCTGCCATACGATAGACATATGCGTATTCAGCCTATCATGAAGTATCTGGACTGCTTTCTAAGAAATACAGAAGGGTAGAAATATGAAAGACCATTGTGCATCAGACTAATCAACTGAAACATAATACGCAATTTAATTTTTCACTCACTTATTAAGATGCCTTTCCTAAAAAAAAAACAAGAAAATTGACCAAAATGTATGAACTTACATAGGCATTTCTAAGGCAAATAAAAATTGTAATGTAATCCAAACATCAATGAAATATATACAATTACTATTTCAATTCAATTTTAATTCTTATATTTACACTATTTATTAATTCATTCATTAAAATTAAATAAATTAGCCTCTCTGCATTTAAAGTCTTGAAGATAAATGGCTGTATTAATGAGTCCAAACTTTTCTCTGCAGTTACATGGAAAACTGGCAAAAAATGCACATCAGTAATGATGGTATCGAAAAGCGAACATTGCCCTGGCATCAACAAACACACTATTTATTTTAAAACAACAGCATTTTTGCTGACAGAACACAATCCACAAAACAATGTTTCACACTTATTTTAAGTAGCACTATTTAGTCTTTCATTCATGCTCAAAATTTATTCGAGTGACCACTATATGCTAAGCATTCTCTAGAGTATGAGGATACAAAAGATTAATAAGACACAGTCTCTTGACTTCGAAGAGTTCACAGTCTAACAAGAGGGACAGACACACAGGAAGATAATTATAATGCAACATTTTAAGTTACTATGCGTGTAGAATACAAGGTACTCCCGGGATAACAAAGAAGAGTAGAAAAGCTCTAAATCCAATGACAAGCTCATGCATAAGTAAAATGTGTGGGCGTTAACCTCTTTAGATGCCTATGCAACTCAACAGGCTGCAAAACTTCAAAATTGCATTCACTGGGTTCATTTTTGCCTGCGAAGGAACTTTGTTGGAGAAATGGAAGGAGGAGGCAGGGGACTGAAGAAAGTAAGGAGGATATGGAGATGTGTAATTTCTAAGTGTTTGATAAGAGACCAAAGCAAAGAGTTAGGCCCCAACTTAGAAGACGATGGTACTTCCTACAGAAACATTAAGAAAAAAAAGAAAGGCAGGCTGGCAGGCAGAAAAGAAAAGCAGAATTTGCAATTATTCAGGTTTCCAGGGAAAGCTAAGTAAGAGAAAGTTGTCATTTTGATATTACAAGCCCCAAAGAAAGATGCTATCCTTGTAGGAAACTACAAAACTTCCGTGGGGACCCATAGTTTATCTAGGATGATTGACAAAGTCAGTAGACCACCCACGTACTTAGAGATGAACCAGTGTTCCTGATTCAAGCCGTATTTTTATTTAATACCATGTGCCTGGGAGTCTAAGAGGGCTTTCTTGGGGATGTGACATTTCAGCTGAGAATTTTTCAAATGAGCAGGATTAATGAGGGCAGAAAATAGCCTTCCCTTCCCGGTAGGGGAAACAGCATGTGCAAATGCTTGGGGCAAGAAGGAGCATGAAAGAAACAGAAAGGCTAGACACAGAGTCGGAAGCACAGTATGAGATGAGATATGAGAGTAGGAGATGACTTTAGATGTCATCTTAGCTACATTAAATATTTTGGTCTCTATTCTAAAAGCAATAATATGAATGATAATACTAGGGGTGGGTTTCCACATGCTTATAAATGAGGTCCCCTCATAGTAATGGATGGAGCCACGGGTGGCAGAGAGGAGAGGTGGGTTAAGGTTGGGAGCTGATTCTCCCTAACACAAAACTCCAAGGAGCTAACATTAGCAGGACTTGATGATTGAAAACAGGTGGTAGGGAAGTAGAGGTGTTATGTTTACTTCTAGCTTTCTGCCTTGTACAATTCAACATTTGTAGTACTACTCCTTGGCCTAAAGAGCATTGGTCAGAGACTAGAGCTATATAAGAAGATCCTTAGTACGATTTGTACATGTTGAATTTCAGGCATCTTTAAGACAGTTAGGAATAGATGTCAAGTAAGTAGTTAATAGACATATGATCTAGAGGTCAGAGGCAACATCTCGGCTTGGCCTATTATTTGTGAGTCATGAAGAAGTACAGA